TCCCTCCTCTCTTATTTATTAACATTAGTAATATGATCATGTAGCGCATGGACCAGGAGAGGGTGGAGCGCGAGGCGCTGGAGCAGCCCAAGAAGCCTGCAGAGAAGCCCCTCAATGGTGAGACTATTTGATACAACGCTCACAGAATTCTCCATGTTTCTGTTCAATTCTGTGTTTGATGTTTGTTATTATATATTGTGTACAGAAGGCGAGCCGGGCACGCCGGGCACGCCGGACCACGAGAAAGAGGAGGGCGAGTGTGACTCCACGCACGGTGCGTTATTCATATCTGCCCTCACATATTTGATATTCACGCTAACAGTCTCTTTTTGTAATCAATAACGGACTCTCAGTGCACCAACTAATAGGATAAAAGCCTATAGTTTCTCATATGTTCATAACTGAAGTAATGTTTTTTTATTTTCTTTCCTAACGTAGATCAATCTCGACATGAGAAAGTCGACTACAACGCTCTTGACTTTGAAGAGGATATTGAACATGAGGGTTTGTATTACTATGTATTGTGCTTAGTTAACGTCTGATTGACAAACGTCTTTGATATACTCGTACGTAAATATTATGTTCGATGTGAAAAAGTGCGTGTCATTGTGTCACACAACTATACGTGATGACCTGCAGATCAAATCACAGCTTGTATGTGTCAAGCAGATCATTGAACCGATTCCTAGTTCAGCTCTATTTATACCTACATAATAGAGTTATGATTTGCCATTCGAACTGCTAGTCAACAGGCAGGTCGTGCCTTGTCGATTTGCATAGTTATAGTTCATCGCGATGAAGAATTTAGTTGTAAAGCCGCAGCTCAGTGGTTCATGTGTATGTGTGGGTAAACTTTTGTACCGGTTCAGTGATGATGTACCCGGTACTGCGGGTGTGATGCAGGTGGTCGTGCGGTGCGTGCGGTGCGTGCAGTGCGTGCTGTGGTGTCTGGTCGCGGGGCGACGCGCGCGACTTCGCCCCGGCAGCGCGCGGAGGCGCTGGCCCGCGCGCTCGGCGTGCACCCGCGCCACGACCAGCTCAGGTACCTCACACAACACCTCATCACATACAAACTTACATTTCATTGGCTGCCACTTTGTCTAAAAGCTCATATAATGATATTAGATGATAGATCGTTTGATTTTTTCTGTGAGCGCGTTCCGTCCACCCCACATCAAGCAGTGGAATACGCGTGGTGGGAGTTGCAAGGCTGTGTGATGGCAGGTGTTGATGACCAACAGGGAGGAGCGTGACACGCGGGAGTACCGCGAGCGACCGCGGCGACGTGACGGCCTGGCCTCCTGTGTGCTGCCCGTCGCGCCCGCGCACCCCGCACACCCCAGCACCACCGCCCCCGCCCCCGCCCCCGCCACCCGGGACACACCGCACCATGCAGACGAGGGTGACGAGGACGCCGGCTACGATCCCTTCAGGCTGCTCCGGAGTACCTTCGCCAGTCATAACAGAGATAGGTACAAAGACCAGAGGTGAGTCTCAGTCACAATCTAAATATATTTTTTTGTAAAATTAGTAAAAAAACATGCCATCTTCTAACTTTAGTTATATTAGCAAGGAAATGTCGATATGTGAATATATAACAAAATAATGACAAATTTCTTCTGGTACAGGAAAGACGAACGTCAAGATCGCAGTGATACACGACGCGAGAAGGAAAAGGAGAGATACAAAGAGAAGGAACGAGACGACAAGCACGACAGACACAGGAGCGAAAGAGACGACCGCAAGCACTCGGAGCATCGCAAGGACGACAGGGAATATAGAAAGGATGATAAAGAGGGAAAGAAATATGACAAAGATATAAGGAAAGATGACAAGGAAGTAAGAAAGGATGATAAAGTGAAAAAAGACGAAAGAGAATCTAGAAAAGAAGACAGAGAGAGTCGCGATCACAGAAGAGAAGAATCGGGGAAAAAGGATAAGGAATCTCGAGACGACAGAGATTCGAGAAAGGAAGATAAAGGTAGAAAAGATGTTAAACGAGAGGAGTCTAGAGACAGAGAGAAGCATAAAAGTGATCGGGCTAGAGAAGAGAGGGATGGAAAGAGCTCTACCAAGGAGAGGTATTAAATTCATAATTACATTTAAAATGTTTAAATTGTGCAAGATTTTAACCCTTAAACAATGTGACAGGACAAAGTCACCCAAAGGTGCAGGCGCAGAGGCGGCGGTGCGCGACACAGCAAAGCCCGTCACTGAGGAGGACAAGAAGAAGGTAAACAGAAATTAATTCATAAGTGTTATTATAGAAAACATTTCGGCAACGGTTTAGTTTCATTTTAGTAAAAAATATGTTGAACATTCAAATTAGTTTGTTATGCAAAATGTTTTCTTACTTTTTGTAAGGCAATATGTATGTATGAGATACGTGTGTGTATGTATGCAGGAGGAGGAGCGCGACGAGGCGCGCAAGGAGCTGATGGAGATCGTGCGCCTCATCAAGTCCCGGCAGCGCGACCGCGAGGCCAAGGCGGCGGGTACGTACACGCAAACTAATACAACAACTTTATTTTATTAATTTGTTTTGTTGTTCTTAATATATTGATTCCATAACAATAACAACATGTTAACGTTCACAATAGAGATGAAGAAGAAGAGGGCCTCGTCCTCTGAGTCTGAGGGGTCGCGCCGCGCTCGCCGCCGCCGCTCCTCCGACCGCAGGCGCTCGCGCAGCCCCAGGTCTCACCTCACACACACACACACCATCTCATACACATATACACATACTAAGTATATTTTTCTTCATTAAAACAACACATGCAGTTGCAACTGTAACAACATAAACGCAAGCCAAAATCAAAACATTTCTCATTAAGTGCTTTAGGGATTTCCAAACTGTTGTCAACTAATTTACTTTTCATTTGAATAAGTACATTAAATGTAAAGTTTGTATTACGAGTTCTATCGTACGTAATTTATATATATATATATGTTGAAAAATATTTGATTAATATTAATTGGTGTGTCCGCAGATCGCGTCACAGCCCGAAGTCGTCGCGTCGTCGTCGCTCTCCCTCCTCCTCCTCCTCTTCCGACTAACACCTCCCTCCTCCCCTCACCTCATCTCACCTCCCCCCCCCACTGCCTCACAAACTATGACCTAACAAACAAAGTCAAAGTTTTAGATTGACCCACTACAAAGTTACGAGGTTAAAAGTGTTGACACCAAGAAAGGTTAATTTGTCAGGAAACGCTTCTGCAGGCACACCGCCACGCCCACAGATGTTTTGGTTAGTATAGTGAAGAAATACTGGTAACATTATGTAGGTTAATGAGGTAAGTATATCACATTTTTATATCTTATATGAATTTATTTCATTGCTTTCAATTATTTTTACATTTACTGTTAAAAAGGACATTGTATGAATTAGGTTTCATTAATATGTAGTTATAATTTTGTTAAGCACTATTCTTCTAATAGTGATTACATTTTGACACTTAACCCGTGAGTTTCTTTTTCATCATCCATGTCTTTCACCTTTAACAAAACAGGGATAACAATATTATTAAAACGGAGACTCTGTTCTCAGAAACCCACGCTAATTGAATTAAGCAATATACTAAAGTGATGTAAAATTATAAATATAAATACGAATATTTTTATATTCTGCATTTATATGTTCTAATGGTTAACATTGCTTGAAATACGACCATAACTAGCCTTTTGCACTTATCTACATAAAACTTTAACTGTGTCAAATTTCATGTTTATTCAATGGTTTTACTCAAAAGGGATCCAAAGTTTTCGTTTCACGTAAAATAATATGAAAATATCTTTGTAAGAAATATAATGTATGAATTTTTATATAGAGCATATGTTTTATCTGCGTTTATCATTACTGCTCACCCTCTGAAGTAAGTCTTCATAATAGATGGATCTGCAAGGGCACTGCTGTGCCCAACGTATAGAAATTCAAGCTAATTTCATGGTGCCTATAAAAATGTCGGTGTACTATGTTTTAAAACTTTAACTATAGAAATATTACTAAGCGACATTTAAGTAAACTTTAAATCACACTAAGGACGATAAAACCATATACACCTAAGTAATTGAAACTCCATTATGTAATAATTGTATCAGATATTATATAATTGTGTGTGAATTAATATTTCTTGTAAAATTAAATGGTATTTTAATATAATTGTCAGGTCACATTACGATTCTTATTCTTATTTTCCCCGTGAATTATTTCAATATTATCTTAATTAACGTGTACTAGATGTATTTGCCTTGTGTACAATTTAATAAATCATTCAAACTTTATATTTGTTTTATTTAAATAATATTAAAATTAGATAAGAGTTTCTCAGACCAAAATCTTCGTTTAAAACATATTGTTATCTCTGTTTTGACAAAGATAATGACAGGGATGACGATATGTTCTATACAGAGATTTTGATTTCAGAAACCAACGGTGAATAAATATGTTCTGACTGCCGCAGTATCATAAAAACATATTTTATCTAGCTCGTTCTATTTGAAAAATATGAGATAACGATTTTTACTGGTGTTCCTGCGGTGTAAACTAATTATAATACAAAGCACAATGAGTCTTGAGTTGCGGCAAAACATCCGTCACGTGGCGTGACAGGAAGGAAAACGAACTATGACAATATTTTGTAGTGAAGTGCCGAAAACTTTGATAATAGTCCGGTTAATTTAGACATTGGAAGACACATAAAGTCCCAACGAGCTGATATGAATTGGTGGATAAGTTCAAAATATAATATAATAATAAATAAAATTTAAATTTCAATCTTATTTTGGGTTTAATTTGACCGGACTAAATTCTAACAGGGAATAGGTAAATGTTAAATTCGTAAAACGCCATCTATTGGTATAAAAACTATTTCACGAAAATATTTTACTTTTCAAGGCACATTAATCGACGAATAATAATTTAATGCCCCTTGGTAACTTTAGGACTATATTAAATTATAAGTACCGATCGCAACCGCTACACCTTATGAGTACCTCTCCGAGATGTTGGTTTCTTACGTTATTTGATTTTTTTTACGTTAACGAGTAATTCTACCTGATAGCATCAATTAAATATAATTTATAACAGCTATAGGTTTGTTGTAAGCTGTATGTTACCATTTTTTTTTCATAAAAATAAGTTGTTGATACGTAAAACATAATTTCTTTTGTAGAGATTTTTTCATATTGTTCCCAAGTCCTTTTTATTAATAATATAAAGTAAGCACAATAATGCCGGCTGATACTCGTCCTTTGTCAACTTTGTTAATTTCCTTATAAATTATATGCTGTAATTTTCCTTGTTTATTTTATAAATTTCTATAAGCGAGAGTTATTTACTGGGAAAGAGGGTCAAAATTTGAATCTAGCGAGAAGCAACCTGTTGGGCTTTTCATTTAAATGCTATTTATTTCACCACAGTTTAGTTGACCTATTTTATTTCATATCAACGGAATTTTCCAGCACGTGTTTTGATATTGCGTTTAATATAATATTCAGTGGTGTATTTAGCTGGCGGCGCCGAGTATCGAGTTTATTTTGTCCGCGTTTCGTGTAATTTGAGATGAACTTGCAAGAATCAGTTTACAAAGCGTCGTAAACACACTGCTTTTGAATCGGTGACGTTATTACGTTCGTAATTATTATTAATTGGTGTTTTTTTGAACGAGTAATTTCCAATTGATTGGAAGATCGATGGGTGCACCGCCGCGACGGCGCCATCAGAGAAGGTTATTAAATTGCGGCATATATTCCTTGATCACGCCGACATTTTTTATACTTGATAAATTGTCATTTGTCATCAACTTATTTGACATTGATTTGATATTTTGATTACACGAAATGAATCGTTAGACGGACATGATTGGCCGTCTAGTTTGTGTTTTAGGTTAGCAATGTTTTTTATTACCAAGGTTAAATGATTCCGTGGGTTCCCATTACCAAATCATCTTTATTACTTATTATATTTGCCTGGTATTTTATAATGTTCTTAATTTAAACCTTTTTAAATTTTTAATTGATTAAAAGCTACAATTGAAGACGATTTTTCAAGAACACACACAACTAACAATTTTCAAATCCAATTTCGCTGTGGCGATGAGCTTTTGTGGAAATTTTTGAGACATTTTTCACTTTCGATGTCTTTCCCACGGTGGTGGAGGACGGGAGTAGGGGGGAGGGGTTAGTAATAGGGTGCCGGATTACGTCACACGTGAGAATGTCCCGCGGCGCGATGTACATTGCTGCTTTCTCATTGACCCCTGCCCTGGACAATTGCACTGGCCCAGCCACTCACGTCATCTACGAATACGTAACGCTCAAAATTAAATCACCATCTCTAGAACAGCGTTCATTAGTGTCTTCTTTACTTATATTTTAAAAGCAGAAAGCAGTACAAAAAATGTTAGAACAAAACTTACAAAATAAATTACCATTTATTAATCTACAACAAAAGAAATTACATTTTCAAAAGATATCAATTATAAAAGAAAAACATATTATATCATAGTATTTCTTGGCTAATGTTATCTATATACACTTGATGAAATTGGGACGTCTGTATGTAATATCAAAGTAATCATATTACGTACACACGATGTTTCCGTTACATATAATCAAAAACCAATTTTTGAAATTTCTGTTTCGCTTTAATTGCGGGAAACTCCGAAACGACTGAACAGATTTTGACGGGAATTTTACTGGTAGGTTACTAATTTATGCAGGCATATGATAAAAAAATAATGTTATCCTTATTTTTGTTCTAATTTTTATCCTGTGTTATGGTTCTGAGTTGCGCCGTGCGTCGTGCGTCGTGCGTCGTGCGGCGTGCGGCGTGCGTCAGCGGCGCTGCAGTCGCCCTGACCTACCCCTACGCGCCGCGCGTTACACCGCACAACGCAACCGCACCACACAACCGCACACGATTCTTATAATACATAGTTTCATATTTGCAATAATACGCTTACAATATTTAATGTTAAGTATGTCTTTTAAACTTGATATTAGCATGTTACGTAATGTACGGAAAATATTTTTTATACCAAACATAATATAACAATCATAATTGTATGCTTCAGTCTGTCAGTAACATTTTAATATAACTTTTTAAATTACTATTTAAAAAAAATATTTAACGTAATAATCCCTCCACATGCTTGCAGTCCACTGACACTAGATCATTCAACTTTTAATCAACCAGCTGGAAGTTATCGAAGTTATCAATTACACAACTTTTTTCTTTACCAACACTTCGTGTGTTGATTGAACATAATTGTTTACATATACAACGCTCCCTATCACTTGGTTTGCACAAAAAAAATCAGTGGAAAGCGATCGATGTACCTCATGACATAGTTTGGATGCAACGCGCGTGCTTGAAAGCGGAAGTATAATGCGATTATCGATTTGCTTATGACAGAAAATGCGTTGAATGGACGAGGAGCAAGGAGGCGCGGGCGGGAGCGCGGGGTGGGGGCGGGGAGCTGCAGCATGGCGGCCCCGAGGCGCGCGCTTTCGATGCTGGCCATATCGATATTCTATACCGGTTATATGATTTTCATTTAATCTAATGTGAATTCATGTTTTTGTAATAATTAACTTGACGTAGAGTATTGAAAATGAACTTAAAATTGCACGTGGATGTAAATAAATAATTATTACATAGAAATTTTTACATAACAGTCAGTAGATATAGAAGATTAAGATAAAGCATATCCTAATTGCAATCACAAATCATATGATTTATAACTGTTTTTTATTCAAACTAAAAGATTTGAAAGATGTAAATAAATATAAAATATATAATGAATACCATACGTATATAACGTACTGAACAAAATTATGTAGTAGTATGTAATTATTCTCCTTATGATACACCTGAGTAAGTTCTTAAGGACTGCAAAGGTTGCAGTAATTACAAAAAAGCGACAAATAGAAAGATTGCTATGAAGGCTTTTAATGAGTTGTCGATTAGTTAGCGAGACATCGAGTGATGGCGGGTCGCGGTGCGTGCCTACGGGTCCCGCCGCCGCCCGCGCTCTCCGCGCTGCTGTCACGCCGCGCCGCGCCGCGCCGTCAGTGCGCCGGTGGGAGCGGGCTGCGCCGCTCGTGTTCTCGCAGCCCGCTAGTCGACGATCCCGCGTGCAGTGCAAATGATTTTGTTTTTATGGCGCTCATATTACTACAAGTGTTGGTGCTGGGTGTGACCGCGGCGGCAGTTGACGGTGCGTGTACCAGGTTCTCTCCCGGGCACCACGTGGCCCGGGCCGGCATCGGACTCTGTTTACAGCGGCCGACGCATGCGCCTCTCTCGGGCGGCTGCAGGTCAAACACCGGCACAAACTACGGAGGTTCTATATACGTGTTTGTGGCCCGACAAGTAAGTTTGGTTGTAGTTGTAGGTCGCCGCGCCGGCCGCCGGGGACGCTGCACCGGGGAATCGTCGATGCTCTCGTTTGTTTATCCCGTTCCTCAAATATTCTCCCTCAATTTTCTATTAGATGACATTCCTATAATATATGTTTGTTTGTCATGCGGCGACCATAACATGAGTACGTTTAATGTAAATGTAGAATAATATAACATCACAACAAAACAACGAGTTTGTAATAACATAGTAAATATTTGAAGTCCTTCGCAATGCCTTGAAATATATTTGAAACTTTGATGTTAGTGAATCAGAGGTTGCGGTGTGTGAGGAAGGGGTAGTGGTGGTGGTGGTGGGGGGGGGCACAATAAACACGCGTCAATAGCAGTAGATGGTGTTCAACACAAAACTCGTTTGTGTTTCGTTATATTATTATTATGATTATATCTTCCTAACGCGGCGCGTTGTTCTCTGAAACCTTGCTGCGTAATAACAAACAAAATGAATTTTGTTTTTATTATAATTGTTAAAGAACAGTCCCAAGTAATATGACGCCCGTGGGTCGAATTTCCTGTAAATTTCATAAAATGACTAAAACATTATGAACTATAAAATTATTTAATTAACATAAACACTATTCAGTACAAATTTATTAATATTACTATTTTAAAAATTCGTCCTCGAGGCGGAAAAGTCGCGGTCGTTTACTAGTAGATAAATAATTTAGTAGTGGTAGGAACCAGGGACCTTGAAACCAGCGATCCGATACTATACCGACCACTGACCTTGGATATTATGCCTTTATTGTATTCCAATTGAAAGTGGTTTAGTAAACATCATAGTCATAGTACGGGCGTCTAATGTACTTTGGTGACTATTGCATTTTTGGTTTTGACGGTTCTACCATTGATTTTTTTTCTGGTCTTGGTAGCGATAAAACCTTTGTTATATTTCTTTTTCAGCTTGTGGATATCCAAAACATAATTTACTAAAGTCCTATATTGTTGTTTCTGTCTTAATATATTACCATCTCTCTCATCTCATTGAAAAAAAAGAAGACACTGTAGTTTTTCTACGCAGTCTTTTGAAAATGACGATAAAATGTACAATAGGTATATCACAGAGCGGTATTACATAAAAGGTCTATGATTTATAGAGATGAGGGCAGGTTATTTGAGAACGCGGTCAACAATAGGTTCTTTGTAACGCTACAATTGACTGAGTTCCTAGGAAATACTTAACTACCGAGTAACACGTGGTTGGAGATTCGTTATTGTACCCGGTATTAGATTATTACGAAATTTGATGTTTAAAACTATAATTGTCCGTTGTCAAACACTCGTGGAAAACTGTTAACAATTTTTATTTGCATTTTTGAACACGCTGTTTAACGATTGATAATGAAAAACCGAAATATTAAGGTTATAGAATCAAATGTTTTTGATATTCAAATAAATCGATTCATTTGACGAAAAAGGTTACATCATTTAAAGGATCTAAGGCACGTAACTATTTACGTTGGATCAATCGAAACATAATACAACGCTATTGATGCTGCGAGTAAAAGCTATTATGTAATAAATACATAAACTCTACTCATATACAGCTTTGTAGACCTTTAGCTGGAGGACAATGTAATCTAAATGGTAAACTTCTCCGAATAAATGTTATTATAATGTCCTTATTCTTATATCCTGGGATAGATCTGCCCGCGGCACGGTACCGTAGCTTAACGATATGTTTTTGTGGACATTTTATTTTAAATACTTATTAACGTAAGAGTAATCTTATTTCTTACCAATATAAATGCGAAAGTTTGGATGTATGGATGAATGAATATTTGTTAGAAGATATCACTAGGACGGCTGCATGAATCTCGCTGAAATTTGACATAGAAGTAAAACATGGCCTGGAAGAACACAGAGCCTGTTAATTAAGTTATTTTAATTTCGCGCGGACGGAGATTCGCGTGACATGTAGTAAAACAAAAGATTAACATCATTTGTAAAGGAACGTTCAGAAGACAAACAAACTATTTTGTGTTGATACATCTCTCGCAATGCATAATCTTTACTAATCTTTAGCTGTCGAGAAAATTATAAAAACAAATTACACAAAAATAAAAACAGTCTATGTGTTTAAAATGTCTACACTAAATTAGATGGGAAGCAATCTCGCATTTCTATTTATAGAAAATAAATAAGATTAATCTAGATCCCGACACAAAAATACTTTGGCGTCGCAAATAAACGCTGAAAGTCAAATGGGGCACCTTGGAAAACACGAATCACGTAATATTGTCTTACTTAACTCCGACAAGGGAAGTAAATTTTAATTAAATAAAGACACAAATAACACTAGCCATATTCGCAATAAAAGGAAATACGGATGGATAAGTTCAACTCTTATGTAGGAAATATTTAAATTAGCGACCATCCTTTTGTTCTTCCAGAGTATGTTCTACATCTGTGCCAAATTTCAGCGAAATTCATGAAGACGTTCTGGAGATACCTTCAAACAAACAAACATCCAAACATTCTAATTTATATAAGTATGATAATGAAATAACACAGTAACGTTGAATTTAAGTAAATATTATTTACGTTATTTTACACAATTGGAAATAATTTAAACGTTTTTTTTTTTAAATTTCTGATCGACTGTAGTTAAATTGTACTAGTTGTTTCTCTTACTAGTTTAGGAAGGTTAAATGGTCGTAGTAAAAATAAATATCTGGATTAAGTATTAACATTGCCGACGCGTTTCAAAATAACTTGATTGTAAACTTTGCGATTCTTTCGCTACTTACAAAAGAATAAATAGGGGTTGGATTATAATTCCTGACCTTTTTCCCGCCTTCAAAACTCCGGGTAATTCTTTCGTGGATTAATACGACCGATTTTATGGTATCGAGTGTTTAACTTTGTACGTTAATTCTGTAAAGTTAACTTCGTCTTGAAAACTTTACAATGGGTCAGAAGAGAACAATCTAATATGCCCGTTAAAACTTTGCGATCCAAATTCATATCAAGTAAATATACTTAGGTTTGACTTTGAATTTTATCCTAAATCTATGAGCTGGATAGACTCAGTCACTGGACTGTCTTCTTATAATACAAAGCTTTCACTATTTTTAGACATTAGTTAGAAAGCTTTGACGTGAATGTCGCGCTTTCGTTACCAAGTCAAGTGTCAGATTGATTAGTGAGGGGACATAAACGTTGACATATTAATAAAGCTAGTGTTGCGCCGATACACCGGTTCAGAGCCGGATTTTCTTCCTAAAACCACATTAGACATTTTACACTTAACTACTCTGTATACTAAAGAGTTCCAATTTGATGTTTATTTTCTTAATTTCGGAATGAAACGAGATATACAATAAATACACAAGAGATAAATACAATAAAATAGAATATTATAGTGTTGTTCCAACTCAGTTGTAAACGATGTTGCGATGAGGTGGATCGATCATAAACATAACAAGAATACCACTAAAGCAGAAAAAAATAAAATGACTGATAATAAAAGACAGCATCAAACGCGGTCCGTAACTTAACTAATCAAGTTATTTATTACGAGAAGAGGCCAAAGTGTTGTATCATTTAATTACAGTTAGTAAATTGTTTTGCTGCTATTACTCTTCTTCCTATAGTTTATTGTGACTGTGAATTATTGAGATTCTAATTCTATTTATATGAAGGTAAAGCTCAATTTGGTTTAATCGTCATTGGTGCAATTGTTAAATGCTTGACCGCACCGGACCGAAATCAGTGGCTCCAGTTTTAATCTTCAACCAATGTACCAATGTGTTATCGATTTTCGAATTTCATATGTACATTTTCTCAGACGTTGTTACCAAAAATAACGTGATGCAATCTGTATATATGTACGAGGAAACTCAAAGATATGTGTGAAGTCAACCCGCACTGTGCGCGGTTGACTTTAGTCTAATCAACTTAACCACGACGCATAAGAAGGGAATGAAAACTTACACGACTGCTGATACAGATGTTGCAGGAGTAATACTGTGCTAGGATGATACTAATGTTTAAATAGGTTAATTTCAAACACTATGTCACCGAAGTAAGCATGTTAATAATACAGAAAAGGTAATTAGAAGCAAATAAATCAAAAAGCAATTGTTGTGGTGTAGATTTAACGATGGTTAATGTTTAATACATGTGCTGTACACCAGGAATTGTTCTACACTACTTTGAATTATTCAGTTAATTCCGCGCCGGCCGTTCTAACGCTGAGCTCATCCGCTGACAAATTCAAAAGGCATCGCATTGTGTACGCACTTGACTTAAAACACTATAATTATTTTATTGTTATCAGTAATAGATAACTGGAATAATTCTACTGACTACTACCTTGGGAGAGAATACGATTTGATATCTCACAGTTTTTAAGACATTACGGCTATAAGGTTATAATATCCTATGGTATTTAAAGACTTCATAAGGAAGACTCACTATATGTTTTATTGAATGTTTAACTAGTACTAACACACGCATAACCAAGGAGATTTTATCTATAGGTTGCGGAATATGAAAAACTGTTTTATGAAATGTCGTTACTGATCAGAATGACCTATATAAAATGTCTTTTAGCGATTTACTTATATTAACTGGTGGTTATAGCATGTCGTTAGCAGAACTTTGATAGTCCGCAATAAATCCTCACAACTTTACTGTCTACGTAACGAGCCGTGCCCGATGTGAACGCAACGCGCAACTTTCAGCTGACAACACGCGAACTTTATCACTTTCATATGTTTTCCTTATGCTTTCTTGTTATTAATTTTATCATATAATTTTTCTGTGTCGCGAGAATCGTATTGCGCGCGCGATC